TAGATACATCGACATCTCCCATGCTACTACTATCCTCATGATACATATATAGGTAGATACATCGACATCTCCCAGCCGACTATTATCCTCATGATACATATATAGGTGGGCATCACATGCCATGAAAGCTCACTAACTGGCACATGTGTTTTGTGGTTTTTTGGGGGTTTTTTGTTGTTCAAGACTGAAGGAAGATCACAGACGTTTCTGTATTTGGTGTGATGATTATATATCTGTAGTGAAAACGCCCATCGATCCAGACTTTACCCAGAAATCACGAGTCGTTTAGTTATGAAATCGAGTCCTAATACATAGCTGTTATTTGAATGTGCCACCGTCACCAACTATAGTATTGATGCGTATTTCAACATTCTCCCGGTATAGCTGCTGTTTCGCTGACTAGGGATGCATCCTCACTTAACGCTGTACAGGTGTTAAGAGCAATCTCGATGGAGGGCACGTGCACAGGTGAACATGGAATAGGGCTCGGAAAGAAGAAGTATCTGGGTATGTGCGGAAATGAATACCTTCAGTATATAGTTCTGTACGTGTGAGTGTACTCATTGATGCCAATTCATATGCAATATCGTTGTACCCGTTCACGTATGTTCATACCTCTCTTTGGAAACGAGTTATGATTATAGTGAAAGGCCGTTGCAAAGTGTCGAGTAGGGAAATCGATTTGGGATAGCCATTTGTAGACGTAAATAACATACATGTATTATATGATTGTCTGTAACTTTAATTCGTTGTAAATAACATACACATATTATATGATTGTTTGTAACTTTATTTCGTTTTCTCGATTATGCGTATGCGATTTGAGGTTAACTGATTCATGTTTATCACCCCTCAATGATGTGTACATCATCTGTGCGGAAATACATCAAATTATATTGTTTCAACTAACACGTCTCTTTATATACACCTATGCCTAATTGTATATTGAAATAAGTGTCTCTCTATACTGAACGTTTACACTGAGGTATCAGTGTACAGACCCATACACATAGCCCTGGTATCTACAAATCCAATCTCCTTGTCAACCAAAGACTGGCCTACGCCTCTGCTTGATCAAAAATCACACTTGTGCACTATTCTTAGCTTGTCTCTCCATCGTATATGAGTTGTATGATTGAGCTTGCAACCAATTGTTGCGCTGCTGTCCAGTACCTTCCCAATCTAACTGAACATGCTGTCGCCGCTTCTCTCTAACTGAACATGCTGTCTGTCGCCGCTTCTCTCGTAGAGCCTGAATTGGGTGCCGAAGCAGTAGAGATGATGCGGATCTTAAAGCGCGCACTGGATCCGCAGAATATTCTGAATCCTTCGAAAATTGTTGATGTGTAAAGAAAGCGACATCACTCAAGTTTGTAGATGAGGTGGCGACGAGGGATGCTAGCCTTATATGATTATGTGATGGATCGTCGTGCGTGATAGTGATTTGGCATCCGCAAGACGCCTAAGAATCGGTAGCTCAGAAGTACTCGTAGTTTTTGTGCTGCCTCAGGTGTCTATTAATTAGTGGTAGCACGTACTTGGGCACTGTACAACGGCAATCTCTCTCTCGATGGAGAGTTCCGATAGCAAATCAGAGGGGCGCCATGAGTAGGAATGGCTACTCGACTAGTGAATGCATTAAGGCAAGCCAGAAACAACAGATAAAGCGAATGGTTATAGTGGTTATACTATCGAACGCAGCTCCCCACTGTAGGTAGACCTCTGCCAATCGTTTCAGCCCAGGTGCAAGGAGAAGGTGTCCTGTCTAGGTGCTGCGTGGCAAGCATTAAATAACTAAATAAGTATCATAGTGGTCACAATGGAATCTAATTGCAAACAGCGGACGCTTGAGTGCACAGTGATCTCGCTTGCTAGGTTACCATCTTGTACTTACGACTGTCAAGTATCGCGTCTTTGTGGACACGGAATACGACACATCCAGATATGTCCGCTTGTATCTACCAATCAATGTTCAGTTTAGCTGTATGGTTTGTTATCGACCAGTCAATCACAAGTAATGTCATGACTCACGACTGTCAACTTAGATCCAAGCGCGCCGTACAAAGTCAATACAGGAAAGCCTATTCTTATCGAATGTCATTTCGGTTCACCTCAATAGATGGATAGATCCTACATCTGGCATGATGCGCGTGCTTGAGAACTGGACGTATACACGATCGGACCGCCGTATTAACATCTGAGGGCTTGCATCCTTCTCGCAGTAGGACTGTGTGCATATATATTTATATTGAAACTCACCACACTCCCGGATCACTGAAGGCACTTTTTTTTTGCGTGTAAATGGATCCCTCAAGGGCATTGGGGTTACGCTTGCGCTTCTTGGTGCCACTTCTGCTCAGGTTTGTTCTCTTTGGCATACTCACTTCTCGCTTCCGTGCTATCAGTGGCAATTCTGTGATTGAACGCCATCGTGCACAAAGGCTTGTGCTCGACGCTTTCCTCACCTCAGACCATGTACAATTGGGAAGGTCGCCACCCATGTGCGAGTTTTCGCAGCATACCTAGTGTATATATATATATATATATATATATGTGTGTGTGTGTGTGTATAAATGTGTGTGTGTGTATGTGTACACGTGAATACATATAATATATATATATATACTAGTTTGTTCTCTGTGCAGAGCTATTCTAAATAACACTGAACTGCATGCATCATATCCACACGCTCCGGACAGTGATATTGGCCCATGGCATCCAAGTCAATGTGCAACAACTATCCTTAAAATTGCTATACATCAATATTGTCAATACTGTCTTCAAAGCGTAGACAACTGTGAGTAAATGGTTCTCCAACCGCTCTACGTAAATAACCTGAATTTATTTTGGTGCACAAGGTAACCAATTTCACACTATTTGTCTGCGATATCTTCGAAAATGAACTAAAAACAATAGTCACGATGACCAACAAGCTCAAACCTGTATCTAGCAAAGTAGAGCTTGTGCGATATTTCCGAAATTGACAACTGTACATGGCAAATGAATACTCTCGCAGTGAGAGGGTTCCAGTGCTTACCATCCCTGTCGGTGTGATTTATTATTGTGATTATATATTGTACGGTGAAATTGTTTTGCTGCCGCTACATTGTTATATATATTATCGCAATGAACGTACAACATGCGTGAAGACCTGAGATGGGCAATGGTGAAGTAGCGCCCTTCGTCGGGGGTGCCTTTTAATATACTATACATTAACAATCCAATATGTAGAAGGTTGTGCACGGTATAAGCTATTTGAGCTCTATTCACAGTGCACTTCCAATTGAATGTGCTCTAATTATGGTATTGAAAGATACAATTATTTATGTGTATTTTACACAGCCTTCTAAAATAGACATTTAGAAGGCTATGTATTTTACAGTTTTTCAATACAGTTCATAGCCTTCTGGAATCAAACAAAGGCTATGTTTGATTTCAGAAGGCTATGTGCAGTTGCTCAGATATTTAAAAATCACATAGCCTTCTAATGAAACAATCAGTACAGCCACGCTGCCACGGCCCACGGGCCCACAGTAAAGAGAGAAACTGAAACTGCGGCAAGTCGGCAACCGATCGTAATTCCGTATTTAAAATATAACTATGTGTTTTAAAATATCGGAAATTACATATTTATCTTCCATATTGGTAGAAGGCTTTGTATCTTTTTTTAACAGAATCAATACATACTTACATAGTCTTGACTCATGAGTCATCATCAGTAATGAGATAGTGAGTCACCAGTGAGTCACCACTGTTAGTGTCAAGTGTCAACAATCAACAGCCAGAGACAACAGTTCGAAAAACAAATATTTACACCAACAATAAATACTTCAACAACAACAACCAAAGAGGCAACTGATGAGTCTGACAGTCTGACTGCTGACTGCTGAGCAGTGCTGCTGCTCACACTGCTCAATGCCGACATAAATATGACACTATCACAATATGAGTCATACTTGAAGAATCTTTTATTTTGTATTTACCCTCACTCTACTCTCTCTGCTCTAGTAGTAGTAGAGAGTAGCCATTCTTCTGTCGACCGTCGGCGTTTCCCCATCCCTGAAGTTCCCTCTCAGTCCTCAGAGGAGTGAGAGGACTCCCCTCGCGTCAGAGCACTGGGGTTGACGGGACACTTGGACACCTGGAGACTGGAGCGCCCGAGGACTCCCCACGTCCCACAAGAACGTCGTATAAATGATTTATTTATTTTTAAACTAAAATTTGGTTTATTTTGTAAAAAAACGTTCATTTGCATTTGAACAAACATTTTCTAGCCATCACTTCTTGTGTGTGGCACCCGTCAGGCTGTCACTGCGTAGTTTATTCTATTTTTGTTAAATTTTCCTCTCTAGCAGCCAGAGCTGTCTCTGACCTCTGTCGCCTGGCTCTATAGCAGTGGGGAAGTGAATAACCTCTCCATAGCATTAGAGAAGTCAATGATATGTGTATATTATATATTTACAAATGATGTATATATAAAACGAGAACAAACACAACATCCACAGAATCCAAATATCAGAAACATACGAGGCTTCGCGCAGGTAGATATCTATAGATTTCATATCAAGCGAAAGCAGTTGAGAGGTATACTCATCGTTGTATAGTAAAGCCGCTGGGAGGCGAAACAAGGCTTAGGTGCAGCAAGATGGGTGACTACTGCAGACGCTTGTTCAAAGCGTGGCGTGAGAATGATAAGTAAGTACCACTACACGCCCGACAGTAGACACAAGAAACAGTTCTATAGTTTATGTATGCTTGTGTGTATACGGATACGTATGTGTAATTGTGTGTATGTTTGCACAGAGTTTATGTGTACTTGCCTAAATCAATTATGTTCACGTATATATATATGTATGTATGTATACCGTGTCTATATATATATATATATACACATATATTTATATATATATATATATATATATATATATGTATATATATATATATATATATATATATATATATATATATATATATATATATATATATATGTATATATATATGTATTTGTATATATATATATATATATATATATATATATATATATATGTGTGTGTGTGTGTATATATATGTGTGTGTGTGTATGTATGGATATGGGCGGGCCTGTATATGTGTATATATGGGTATGGGCGTTCCTGTATTTATTAAAGTGTCGACATATATATTTTGATTATATATCTACCTATTTATTTCGAATATTTACGAGTAAATATTGTGTGTGTGTGTGTGTGTGTGTGTGTGTGTGTGTGTATGTGTGTATGTACATATTTGTGTGTGTTTGTGTTCTGTGTGTGTTCTGTGTGCGTGGTGGATGGGTGGGTGTGTGCATGTGTGTGTGTGTGTGTGTGTGTATGAATATATATATATATATATATATATATATATAAATGTATGTATGTATATATATATATATCTAAATATGTATATATCTATATATATATGTGTGTGTGTGGGTGGGTGTATTTGCGTGTGGGCGTCTTGTTTGTATAGATTATACTTATATATACCTATGAATTTATATATGTATGTTTATGTGTATATGAATGTATATATATACGTATAAATTTATATATATATATAAATATATATATATATATATATGTAAATGTATATATGTATATATTATGTATGGAAGTATGTATGTGTGTATATATGTGTGACAGAGTAAGTGTGAGTGTGCTTGTTTGTGTTTTTGTTTATTTATGTATGTATTGGGTGTATGTATGTAGTATGTGTGTATGCATGGGTGTACTTATACACGTTTTATACATCTGTATATTTCGGCTTTCTTCATCTTTCACCATCGCTCATAAACTTATATCGTCACTGTCTCTGAAGGTCGGAAGAAAAGGTCCAAACTGGCGATCTAGACCAGGATCGCTTCAGCTGGAAAACTCTCTTCAAATTCGCCGGACCCGGCATGTTGGTGTCAATCGCCTACTTAGACCCCGGCAATTGTATGTTTCGCCCGTGCGCATGTACGGCGATAGAGTTCCAGTTCGGAGCGCAACCGTGCTGCCATATCAGCCTAGCCACTTCCATCACCATCCCTAATACTAACTGATAGTGTTTGTGTTTTAAACTGAAACGTCGGTGCCGCCATAGTGGTGCGTATACGGCGATTGTGCACACGCTTTAGTTGGTATGAACCTATGTACTGTGAGGTGTGTCTTCTCACATGGAACCTCCAGTGTAGATCTTCTTCGACATACTCTTGAATTGGGTTTTTTAACTTGAGTGTGATCCGTTGCGCGTATTACAGCACGTGCGCAATCTGGTGCGTGTGTGTTTTAAAAGATCTGTGATGCATGCGGGCGAGTGCCCCAATAGTTACCAGCCAGCCCTGTTTTGTGACAGCATACGTACCACTATGCACACTACTGTAGCAGAGTATCTAATCTGTTGTGTGGTCTCGCGATGCTCTACGCCAGAGGTGCAATCTCGGTCATATCGGCATTTTTTACTCGAAGAAGTGAAGAAATGTGTGTTAACTTGCCCACAACACTGCTCGTTACGGATTACGTCACTACTTTTTCGACTTCAAGTGAATATGGTTCAACGGAGGAAAAATTGGGCCCGCGCACACTCAGTGCTCTCTCAATCCTTCACTCGCAGATACGCTCGCATCTATCTTCACAATCATTTGAATACGAATAAGGCGCCAGGAGGGTACGCCCACATGTAAACCGAGACGTGTTCTTGTTGATGCTCAAATGTAAATATATACATACACTTATACGAACACATACACATACACCATACGCATACACGAACACATACGCATGCACTGTACACCATACGCATAAACTTTTACTCATACACGCTGTCATACACATGTACGCAGATACAAACAAACTTAGCACATCTATACCATATCGAATTCGTATCGTATGCGAATGCACGTGTATGTGTAAAGGCAATAAAGGAGCCTGTGTATGTTCACTACATATCACACAAACTCAATAGTTTACGCTTATTCGTCAATAAATGCTGGAATATATACGGGCCGGTACGGCTACTACCAAACCACCCTGAGCTTCGAAGCCAATCCCAATCCGGTCCAACCCAGCCCAAACAGACCCGATTCACTTTTGGATGGTCTTAGACTGTACCCAAATTTCATCGGGTTTTATTCAATGTGTCCCATCTCGTCCAACCCTTTCTGGTGTACCTCCTCCCAGCATTTCCCCCATTTTATTTTATTTTCGCATCCCAGGCCGCTCACTATAACACAGCAAATCACCTTCACCACCCCCAGTTATGTTCATCGCATCCTAAGACACATGCCACCTACGCTCGCAGACCACTACAGCTGATAAGTTGTACCGTGTATCCCAGCGCGTCTCACCTCACCAATCGCTAACCCATTCGCAACCCTCTCTGTGTCCGCTGTAGTGCTCTCAGACATTCAGTCTGGTGCGGCTTTCAACTACCGCTTGATCTGGGTGCTGGTCACAGCCACCTTCTTGGGACTGCTCATGCAGGTGTTGGCGGCGCGTCTGGGCACGGTGACAGGCCAGCACTTGGCGCTGCTATGCCGAGCCGAATACGGAAACCGCACCTTCACGACCATCTGTCTGTGGATAGTGACGGAGATCGCTATCATTGCATCAGATATACCAGAGGTTGTGGGCAGTGCCTTTGGACTGCTCCTGCTCTTTGATATCCCGCTGTGGGCGGGTGTGCTGATGGTCAGGTACGTGAATGTACCGAACTTTCTGTTACAAGGCTGTCGGTGAAGATTGTGTATTCGCCAAGGTCTCCTGTGCACACTAAAAACCCGGTATATTCGGGTGTAGTGTACATCCTAGGCGTGCCTTGGCAGAGTGAAACAAATGCTTTCTCGCATGTGGCTGGTATGCACTCTTTGTTTGCATCAGTCTAGTTTGTGTCATTTTTTCTGTGTAACCTGTGGCCACGCAGTGTTCACTGTCGCGCACAGTACTAGTACTGTCAAGGTTATGACGTAGCGGCAATTCGGATATATCTACACCACAAGTCTGTTGTGCTGAGCGCATCCGAGGTCAGTAAACTAGAGACCCCGATTGCACCTGGTGCACTGTCCAATCAGCGCCTAACCCAACTCTTACCATGCCCATCAACCCCCCGCCCGTGTGTCTGCAGCGCCAACACGTTCATTCTTCTGGGTATCCAGTACTTCGGGGTGCGTAAGCTGGAGGCTCTGATCACCATACTGGTGGGAGTGATTGGCGTGTGCTTCCTGGTCGAAGCGTTCATCACCCCAGTCAAGTGGGGTGTGCCATCCTGTCCAACGGATGACGAGTGGGAGGAGCTGGTGACCAACAACTGCACCACCAGTGATATTGACTACTGTCCTGAGAATTTCTGGTGTGTGTGTGTGTGTGTGTGTGTGTGTGTGTGTGCATGCACGCGTTGTGGAGAGCACGATGAGGGGCTGCGTGTGTGTAGATGAAGTCATTCACTGGCATATGCCATTTATTCCTCTTATGCCTGTCCAGGCCCACAATCACATCCCACACGATTGTATCTTCGGGTCACCCGCCTATCACTTCTCGGTCATACTGCCGCGACTCATCATGCCACCACACGCCTTTCTGATCCTGTCCCATCTTTATACAGCAGTGTTCATCTGCCCTACTTTTCTTGTCTATGCCCTTGTCCTCATCCCCACATGCCGTGCGGTCGCGTCTCCACAATCTTGCTGTTGCTGTGTGTCGGCCAGCCACACATACCTACCAGCACACATGAGACCTGATGCATATATTGATCGCCTCACACCTCTTTGTTGCTCTCCCCAGTGGGGGTGTGGTGGGTGGTTTCGTTCCCCGCATGAGTCCAGACACGAAGATGCTGCTGCTGGCTACCTCGCTGATTGGGGCAGTTGTTATGCCCCACAACTTATATCTGCACTCTGCCTTGGTGCTGGTAAGGCGCGCGATTTAGGAATACGTTTGCCTTTTGTGTATACTGTCATAGGTTTACTTAGTGAATTTGTGGCAGATGGTCGTGCTGCGCACAGGTGTGCTTCCGCCGTTGTGCCTTGGTCGTTAGTGCAATTGGTATTCATTTCACCCTATATGTTGTTTGCAAATATGTGTTCTCGTTGTTTTGTTGAAATGTGTGCGTGTGTGACATCCTTGTGATGGTATAATTAATCAGACCCGACGCCTGAACCTCAGCAATCACGCCTCTCTCTCTCTCTCTCTCTCTCTCTCGCTTCCTTCAAACGCCTTGTGTTTGTATATACTGTAGACCCGGCATATCGATCGCACGAACCCCATCCATGTCAAATGGGCCGATATCTACAACACCATCGAGTGTGCGTTCAGTCTGACCATCTCCTGCATCATCAACGTTGCCATCATCGTGGTGGCTGCATCGGTGTTCTTCCCTTCGGAGAGCAACGGGTATAATGTAGTACAACACCTGGATGAGATTGGATTCCTCGACGCCAGCGACCTGCTTGCCACCATTGGGTAAGACCCTGAGAGAACTGACTTTCCTATTGAATGGAATGGATGGTGCACTTTTCTGTACTTATCCTGGACATGTATGCTTGTGTATGTTGCTCGCAAAAAAAAAACTGCGTATCAGACCAATGGCAATGGGTGTGCATGCGTTAAGTATCAGTAGAGCACAAAAACGTTGTTTGTAAAATACAGCAACAAGCCATACATCTGATAGGCCAATTGTATCATCGTAGGCAATATGTACAGTTACCGTCATGCGGTCTGTATTGTCAAGTATTGAAGTGCTGTTGAGCACTCCAATACTTGTGGAGGACCATGCGTACACATCTCTGTACGTATAAAAGCAGCTAAATGTATGCTTTAAACATGCGAGGTTCCATCAATGATGTGGAAACGTACGCATATGTTGACTTGTCTTGTGCGTATTTTTCAAGCGTGACTCGGATAACTAATTGTTTTATCCAAAAAAAAATGAGAAGGAAGTCACTTTTGGGTCTCCTGAGCACGCCATATCCAAATGGGGTGTACACAAACTCTGATCAAACGAACTTTGCGTCACTTTGTAACCCAACAGAGGTTCTGCGAAGATTCTGTTTGGCATCGCGCTGTTAGCCTCAGGCCAGTCGTCGACCATCACCGGGACGTATGCCGGTCAGTTTGTTATGGAGGGCTTCTTGGATATCAAGATCGAACTGTGGTTGCGGAACCTCTTCACTAGGTGTGGTTCAGTGTGAGACAGCAAAACTGGATATATTAGCGCAGGGTTATATATATACGTATGTATGTATGTATGTATGTATGTATGTATGTATAAATATATAGACGCCTGAGAAGCAAAATAATAATAATTTATGATTGGGAGACGGATCAATTGCATACAATGAGATACGTCTGCACACCTTTGCCCGTGTATCCTATGTCTTGACCTTCCAAAGTGTGTGATCGTATGAGTCCGTAAGCATGTACAGTTGTCCGCTACAATATCACCATGTCAAATCGCTATCAAGGTTTCCATCCAGTCTGTAAACTACTACTATTGTCAAGTAGCAACAGCCTAAAATAAGGATAATATTCTCGAATCAGTACTACAATGATGAGTGCATATTCTAAACTGGCATTGTGAATTCGTTGCTATCGAGCACTGAATAACCTGAAAGAATATGATGCCTAAAGTCAATTGATCTGTTTATTCTCTGTGCTTTTTTTCCTTTCTGTGTGGATTGGTTATCTCTTCCTGTTCTTAGCATTACCTGTACCGTACTTTTTGTGTAAAGTTGCCAATTCAGGATGTTTGCCATCTGTAATCGCATTGCGAGTTCTTGCGGTCGTTCCACTGATTGCACAAACGTCCCAACCGCTGAACGCATACGAAGGTGATATTTCGGTGATTCTGGCTGCTGCTGCTGCTGCCACCTGCCCTTCTCCAAGTAGTAGATACGTTCACATTACTCAGTGCACAACTGTTTTTTTTCTTGCAGGGCGGTCGCTATTGTACCCTCCCTAGTGATCTGCCTCATCGCGGGGACGGATGGCGCCAACACGCTGATCATTGTGTCGAGTGTCATTCTGAGTTTCCAATTGCCGTTTGCTCTGATTCCGCTGCTGAAGTTCACCAGTTCGTCTACCACTATGGGAATACACAAGAACTCCAAGATGGTATATGGGTGTGCACTGTGTGCGAGACTTTCGATCAAGTCACAACTATTTATATACTTTATGAGTTGCTTATGTGGTGATAATTGCAGTCTCCCCCCGATATAAGGTATGAGGCGGTTCCTTATTATTAACCACCTGAAGTGATTGCAATATCTACACGTGTAATTCATCTTTTAATTCCTGTTCACACTCCACATCCATATTCTATCGATAAAGTGCCCATGTTTCAAAGCTTTCATTCGCATCAACCCCACATCCCCCGTCCCCAACCAGTTCTCTCACCTTGTCGCTGCTTCGCCTATTGCATTCACCGTTAGATGGTGATCACGTGCACTGCCTTGACCGTTGTGGTGCTGACGGCAAACGGGTTCCTAGTGGCGATGACCATCTTTGAGTCACTCGTGGGGTGGGTGCGCATTGTAGTGGGCGCGGTTGGCTTCATGGTCAGCATTCTCTACTTCTCCGCGCTCGGGTTAGTAGTGTGACGGCAGTTGTGTGTATAACATATCCGAATGAACCAACCCAATGCCTTGCAGTTCCCTACTACCATTGCGTCGAAAGGTCTGAATTATTAAATAATTCAGATCGCCCTTTTTCTGTTTTGTGGATTTGGAGAAAGTACTGGCAAGAACTAAACCTTTTGCCCTGGCTTCTCTCCCTTGGCTGCAGATACCTCGCCTGGAGACCCGTTCACGCCGCTCTCACGTCCACCGGATCATACGATACGCTGATCGATGATGAGGTGAGTCGGGCAAGGATGTCTGTTGACCTATCTCCATCCGTTGCGCACGAGGAGGTATATCTCATCTCCATGCCCTTCTAAACGCATGCACGGCTTGTCGATGCTTGTTCACGTACTCTGTGCATTGTACGACTGGCCTGTTCGTTAGTGTGCATGAGGAGGTGAACTCGGCGAAAACAAGTAGTGAGCTTGTATCGTTGCATTCTAACGAATGCAAGATGCTTCTGACTATGATTTTATCTTGTGATATTTGCCCTATTTATTTTAAACTTGGCTCAAGTTCCTTTCATACGTGCATTGTTCCACTACACTACTAATACTCTGTTCAGTTGGTTTCGCTACTCGGATCTTAAAAAGTTGTATCGTACGGTATATCCACTAGCTAGCTATGTTACACTATCCTGACCCTCACTTTGGCTCTCCTGCAACACAACCTCAAACCCCTGCACAATCAGTACGCAGGCACCTACTTGCTCCATGACATCACTGAACCTGACATGCTTATTGTATCTCACGGGTTTTATCTCTGACCATGATGTGTCGCTATTGCAGATTCCACTTGACGATCACTATCCATTTGATGACGACGAGGAGGACGATGACGAAGGCTCTCCTCTCGATTTAATGAGTGACTGATCGGCATAGTGCGTGTTGCTGGTCACACGCCCTCCGATGCACATGACAGCTTCGTGCGCAAGTCCAGCTGACTGATATACATAAGCCGAAGTAGGTATACATAAGTCTGCGTAGTTAGTTATACATAAGCCTATGTAGGTATATATGGGCCAGATTGCATACACTTGTGACTGTGAGTCGCACTCGTATGGGATGAGAGGGCAGCCAGTCATATATTTAGTTAGTCAGTCCGAATTAGGCATGATGTAGGATGTTTGAGTTGCATCAAATCAGCGAACAACTACTGTTTGCAAGGACATTTGGCCCCATTTGGAGACTAGGTCTTTATCCTGTATTGCTTAGATATCACTGATTTACCCCGCTAATGCCCATGACACACCGCTATAGAGAACGTATAGAAGTAAGCAAGTAGGTGACATGTGTGCGCACACACATACGCAGGTCCCATCTAGTTTTGCTCACTCTGCACAAACGAACGATATATATATATATATATATATATCTGAGTGTGTATATATATTTAAATATATATATATGGTTCCGCGCACTTAAAAGCTACTCGTGCATGGGAATTACTAACGCACTCGTGGCCATAAACGACCATTTGTGTCCGCCATTGTGTCACCAGTGAAAGTTTTCTATCTGTGATGCATGGCTGTTGTTTTGCAGCTACGGTGCACCATACATACAGCGATACTTCGTTTGCTTTCGCTGGTGGAGTGGTGGACTCGGATTTTAGGGGGGGAAGTGACGAGATCATATTACGATTGAATAATAACGTAGGTAAAATTGAGGATTGAGGAGAATTTTAGTAGAATCACAACATGATTAATAAATGCGATTCCAAGCATGCATTGCATTGCCTTGTGTTTGTTTCTCCCGGGCATGACTACTACAAAGTATTCGCCTGTTTGTTCGTTTGCACCTCTTAGATAATCGCTCGGATGACAGTGATCACATGTTGATATATTTTATTTCAAGAACTAATACTACTTTTTTTATTTAAATTTACATTTCTTATCTTTACTTACGGCGACGAAGAAAAAAACATCCGTCATCACTTTTTTTAAGTCTACAGATTGCACTCAGGCAAATTCCTTATATTATAGATACACCAAACCATCAGACTCACATCACCTCCAACCGTCGAGATACCCTGACAATGGGGGTGGGCCGATTGCGGGACGTACCGCTATCCCTCCTCTCTGGCTGAATTCGTGATGGTGAGATGGCTGTGTAGGTTGCCTTAAGTACTCATAGGCCGAGCCTAACTAGCTTTAGCGAGTGTGTCGACGGTATGATCGCTTGAGCGCGAGAACCCGGCGAACTGTAAGCCGTGTCTGCCTTCATAGCAACTCTTGGGTTCATTTCCCAGAGTGCGATGTGTAACTGTGGGGCAGGCTGCCACAAACTGAAGTTCGGCGCCTTCTTTCCGCAATTCCGGCGTAGAGGTAGTGAGATACATGTAGGGTTTTTATACCGAACACCAGTTCTTATTCGGTGGGGTCTGATGACAGAACAAGACTCCTGGTGTGCTGATATGAGTGCGGCGTTCGACCTTCGACTGAATTTTCACGCGATCACAGAACACCTGGCACATGTTGACACACTAGCGCAAAAGGGACTACACAAGCTCTTTATGATTGGCTGCCTAGCAGCGACTGTGAATCAGTCATGCATCTTAGTTCGCTGAATCATCTTAGGTCGCGCCAATCGTGTCTGAAGGTACGCTTTCGCGGTGATGTGTGGTGCCGTGGTGTGTTGTGTGATGTGGTGAGGCACGGCGTCGTCTATGCCTTACCGACAGAAACGAGCCCAAGGAGTGGTACACACTACGGCGGTGAGCCCAAGGAGTGGTACACACTCAAGCGGTGAGCCCAAGGAGTGGTACACACTCAGGCGGTGAGCCCAAGGAGTGGTACACACTACGGCGGTGAGCCCACGGAGTGGGACACACTCAGGCGGTGAACCCAAGGAGTGGTACACACTCAGACGGTGAGCCCAAGGAGTGGTACACACTCTGGCAGTGCTCTGATTTCGCACCGCCTGTTCTCAGAGTACCTGTCTTCATCTCCTGAAGACTAATTTGGACGGCCGGACCATAATTTTAATTGGCCGTGTGGTGAGGTGCGCTTTGACCGAATGGTGCCCGGGAGATAACGGCACAGCTACCCGGAAGAATTAACTACCAGCGCGTCGTCTTCCCACTAAAAGCGCGACGTTCCTGGTTGACCGTCACCCTCAGATTGACATAGCAAGCTGAGTGTGAACAACTTCGTCTCCGGCGGCACACTCGGGGACGTCCAAGTTCTGACTTTGGGATGTCGTTGGCTCTCTTAATAGAAGTATTTCACTCCTCGAACTCACTCGAGAGTTTTGAATTCTCAATTTTGAAGCGATTCACATCCCGATTCTTCTTATCCAGTAGTATGTTGTACGTGGCCATAATGTTGTCGAAGTTATTGGCCGCCACCGCTCTGACCACCCTTCGCCTGGACAGTTTGTATCTGCGCCACGATATGATGCATCAGTGTTAGTTGAGATGTATAAACGAGATAGTATTGAGTGTGCACGTACTCTGAAACGTATGAGTGTCGTTGGGCAGGTGAGTACGAACGCGCAGCTTAGTGAGTGAGAGCAACAAACAGTGGATTGAGGTAGGCAGCAAACTAGCGAATCCGAAAAGTGCCAATTAAATTACTTCGTATTCGAAACAGAATGACGTCAATATAAAGCGAGCGGGTGGGGAATAAACTACCCGCCTTGATCCTAATATCCTAAGCGGTGTTGCACAAGATATGATCAGGTCAAAGGCACGAGGTACTTCATTTTGTTTTGTTTTTTTGAGATGGTATTACAAGGAAGGCATAGATGGGGTAAGGATACAATTCCAAGACTAAATGTACGGCAAAACAAAATGCTGAAATCTATTTCCAAGCCCTCTATCAAGAATTGCCAATGGCCATTCAACCCCAATTCCAGTAATGACGAACAATGCAATCCCGTACAAGGGGCACAAACAGTCAGATACTAATATTTTGCATGCACATGCTCCCGTGTACACGCAGATCCGAAACATACGCAATATTCATCCTGAAGACCACATCTTCATCCACCTCAGGCTCGCCATTCGCCGGTTTGGGCGGGTTTCTATATGGTCTGAGTGATGTAGTTCCCTCGTTTATCCATTCCATTTCCATCAGCGCTGCTGCATTGGGGCGTGTCCTAGGCTCAGGCTTCAGGATCTCTCTAAGGAACTGGAGGTTATAGTTAAGTGCATAACGGTGATGAGATCTTGCATGTATGGAATTGTACTTGAAATAACACAAATTTGTAAGTCTGCATTTGTATATTGGAAGTAACTAGACAGCCAAACACCCATTAGAATTAGATTCTTGTACACGTGCCCTAAGTCTATCCGGTGATGTCGCATGCAAAATTACAAATCAAAAGATCCATTAAAACATCTGTGATTTTTACGAGGATCCACCCTAAATCCTTCCAAATGAGACAATTTGCTGTCAGCCACGCTTAGCTCTACGTTGACACTACAAACAAATTTACACAGCCCCCGCCCCCCGCGTATTGGCATCTATTGAACTTCGTCGACTCACCTTCCGACATGACTTGGACATATACCTCGTCTCGAATTTAGCCGCAGACGAATCCGCTGTGGTGGCGAAAGGGAGCGTGCCCTCCACCATCACGTACAACAACACCCCCAGTGACCAGACATCTGCCTCGGGCCCAGAGTATGGCCTCCCCACAAGGACCTCGGGTGCAGCACACCCGTGTGAGCCACAGAAAGTATCGAACATTGTGCCCTCTTGAAAGTAATTGGACAGCCCAAAGTCGGCAACATACACCGTGCGATCACTGCCAAAGAGTAAGTTCTCTGACTTCAAGTCGCGGTGGGCGATGCCTGCATATTTTAGTATAAGCGGTGTTCATTTACAGTCCGGGATGAGTTTGCGTATTGTATGTGCCTGAAGTATCAGACTGCAAAGCACATGCTGCAGATGACAAAGTCGTACTGGGCTCATATTGCGGCAATTGTGTGACACCGATTATCATTAATGGTGGTATATGAGGTTCCTGGTTGTATCTCCTACACGTATTTTAGTATTATATTATTTGCATTGCTTGAACCAAGATTTCTGGTTTTTTGACGACCGGTTTTCCAAAGATGATGAATATTTTTTCCCACACGTGCATGGGACACGTTGTTAGTGATAAACTCACAATGTTCAATTTTTGTGTTTAAAATTCACCTGTAACATACATGTATACAGGTACACATGTCCAATTGATCTATGTGTTTCGGACGTACTTCGTGTATTTGGCTACTTATTTATCCACGTATGTGCGTTTATATATGCAAAATATGCATGCAGAAATCTAAATTCGTGCACACGAGCAGTGAACAAATGCTATAGTCATTGATGCTGCAGTCACTATACACGCATACAAGAACATACGATAAGATAGCAGCGTGCACTTCTCCTTGGCTCTGTTTAAAATAAAATAAAAACAACTGACACATACCCATCGAGTGACAGTATTCTACGGCTGACAGAATTGACCTGTAAGCCTTCCTGGCGTGCTTCTCCTCCATTCGACCCTTCCGTTCCAGCTCCGTGTACATATCTCCACCCCGCGCGTAGTTGAGGAAGAAGTACAGTGTATCGGGGGTTTCTAGTGTTTCATAAATTCTAATTATATTCGGATGGTTCAACTGCTTCAGAACATCCATTTCCCTGGCCAGCCGCGTACGTAGGCTTTGTTTCACTGTTAAAAGGCAGAGTCGTGGATACGAAAGCAAAAAATATGAGAGAATGACGTCTTATACCTGTTTAGTGCATTGTGAAATATAGCACCGCACTCAGCTATGGGCCAAGCCATATTGAAGTACAAAAGCAGTTGTAAATATATGGGATGGTCGGTGTTGCGCAGAATATATCATAACACCCAAGACACGGGGAGCCCCTGAAAGAAGGTCTAATGGCCCAAATTGCATAAGGTAGCAATCACACGTTACGATCGGTAATACTATGACAGACAGGGCCACTCGACACATCGGCATTTTGGATTCAACCGCAGCTCTTTGGAATATGAAAACGGAACGCGCACATAAAGCTCTCATAACCGGACACACGTACGAGCAGAGAAACACGTGATATATTCTCCTACCGACTTGCAAGGATACGTACAATACAGCATACTGAAGTTGTCTCATTCACACATACGTACAACAACATCATTGATTGGTCAGTGGATAAAAAAGGAATGTACTTTATATGACTATTAATTTTCTTAAATATTAATCGATATGGATACAGATCAATATCTATAGACATAGGTATATAGAAATATATGAGGGTACG